ATATATATGTATATATATATATATTACATATATATATATATATATATATATATATATATCTACGCAAATATTCTTTAATTTTTTTTTTCTCAAATCTTTATTTTCTGTTCAATTAACGAATAATAATTGTTATCGATAAATACTATCCAAGCTATACCTACAGACTATCGCTGATAGAAACGCATTAGAAATGGTATAAAATGGACATTATCTTAATATTTCCTCAACAACACTAAATATATAACCATATTTTTTTTAGAATTTTTTTTTTTTAGCATTTTTTTTTTTTTTTTAAGCATTTTTTTAAGCATATAATAGCATATGACTTACACAATAATACGGCGTTCAATAAGTACACCGTAAGTTAAGTTTCTTTCGGGCAGGGAAGAATAGAATAAAAAGTGCTAATATTAAATTGTGGTAATCGAAATAATATGTTGTGTGTTTTGTTAGGCTCGATCGACCCTTTTTTCTTGGCTTTTCAGTCTTTCTAGCGGCTCGAAATAGACCAACCCTATACTCCGTATTCTCGCAAACTCCAGCGCAGCAATCCTGACTTTCGTGTACTCGTATTTTTTTTTTCACTCGATGGTCACGCTGGTCGTTATCGATCCCCGCCTGGACAACCAGACCCTAAAACAACCGTGCACAGTTTTAAAAGCATTCCGATCATTATCATTATCATTATTCGTTTTAAAGAAAAAGATTCAGATATATTCGTCGAGCAGTTTCTCTTACCCCAAGCCAGCTCCAACCAAAACAGATAGAATATTCGTGATAACAAGAGTATAAAGGACCTCTTTTGAGAACAATCCAATTTTCCCCACTTTCGTTGTACGAATGCTATAAGATTTTCTTTTATTCATTCCCTGAGGATGCTTGAATTTCCAGTCTCTAGAAAAAGGAAAAAGGAAAATCGATAAATGCCTCGTTATACACGATCAAAAGATCTGTTTGTCTTACGATTGAGATATTAAAAATAGCAAATTCTCATACTTCGGTGGTGCTTGATCTGGACGCGAGCTCCATTCATAGATCCAATCGGTGTTCTTCTCCAAAAATTCGGATTCCTGCGCAAATAAAAAAAAAAAGAAAAAACAATGTTAAGGAATCTGTTTAAAAAGTCCTCTTTAAAAAAAAAAAAAAAGAAAAAAAATGTCCTCATGAAAAGCATCGTCCGATCTTGACTACGTAATCCGATTTAATCCGATTTAAAAATGTTTAAACGGTGCATATGGATCCAGTATCGTCGAGTGAAATTGAAGATACACGTATTCCTACGTCAATTGAAGTCGCGGATCAATTTACGAGGCGGCCGTTTTTACATGAACAACATAAAGGAATGGCTGGTTTTCCATTACACGACCTATCTAACTATCGTCGAGACCGATGCAAATATTATCAAGATCAAATTATCAAGATTTTTATCACGCGATGAAAACTCATACAATCGTTTGTAAATCAATCTTGAATGTATTTGACGAAATGAAGTGTTCCGAAACAAATGTGAATCATTTTTTTCATTGTTCCACTCTTTTTCATTATTGCGGGGAAAGAAAAATTGAAAAAGTGAATTTTTAAAATAATGTCTGTATGTCGATGCCTGCCTTAACAGCGTGCAGCCTGTTATTCGAATATCTATCGTGAATACCCGAGTAATTTTAATTTCAATTAAAAACTTGCTACGAATGAAACGTGTAATTATTGAAAGATAAAATACACATACATTTTTTTATCTATGAACGTTGTAAAAAAATATTCAAGGATAACTTGACTTGGCAATCAACCAATCAAGGTACGAGTAATGATCATCGCATCATTTGATTATAATACGTAACATACGATATATTTATACATAGATTGTGTTTTTTATCAAATAAAAACTACACTTATTTATAAACAATTCTATCTTTCATAAAGAAAAATTGATTATTATATACGCATATATATGTTTCAATGAATCATGCAATAAATTTAACGATAATCGAGTAATCTTCACGGTATCGAAATCGTACTATGAATTTTTTTTTTTATTCATTAATTATTACATCAATAATATATCATAATAATTTTTTTACGGATCAGAATACACATTTTTTGCCTGACAAATATTCACGAATACATCGATAGAGTAAATAAATAAAATAACTTGAAAAAATGTAATATATATATATATATACATACTTATATGATAATAAATAATAAATAATTTTAATATAGCATATTATCACAAATAATATGCACACGCAACTAGCGGAATTTTAAAAATATATCCTTCCTCATACCTGTATGACTCACGCAAGGCAAGTGTCAGCACAATAATTACAATATATATGTAAAATTGTGAAAATACGATATAACGAAATACAAATATTTTTCTCTCGTTATCCATGATCCAATTTATCCATACCATTTGCCAAGATCGTCAACTGAACATGAGTTCTTGAAATAGTGTTTTGAGTAATGCGTAGTTAATCTCGACTACGAGTACGTACGATTCTTCTCGAATTCACGGTCGAAAACATCCGAACGAAATTCGGTGTCATAAATTTTCATAAATCGTTCCATAACGAAAGAAAAATCTAAAAGTTAAAACGGTCGCTATTATTAAATCATTTTTATTGGTTCCATAATCTGTTTTCTATTAATTTAGAAGGATCTCTTTCCCTCGAAATATAAAAATCCTCGCACAAGTTAAATCTTAGCGTTCATCTTCTCATCGCCAGATCTCCGGAATAAAAACGGGGATGTTAAAAAAAGAGAACAGCTGCGTTGTATATAATCATATAAAATCGAATATAAAAAGAAAGAATATATATAGAAAGAAGAATTTTAAACACAGCAAAAAAGAATATGTACTAGGAGTATATACTCCCAGGGTTCAATGCACTTAGAATAAACATTGCAACGTGCAAACAAACCAAGGACTCATGAATAAATCTAATAACTAGGTTGCGACTGTCGAAGAATGGCTTTAAAAGGATTTTACTCGGTTGATTTCATCATACGTGTCAATCCTCCCACACATGACTAGACGAAACTGATAATTAGTTCAAGGTAATAGGCACGAGTTTAATAAAATGCTCCATTTTTTTTTTTTTTGTAAATACTGCGATAATAAGAAAGATTCTAAAAAAAAATTTGCAATTTATTTCTTTTTTAAATTAATAAATTGCCAATCCATATTATCTAGAAAAACTCGAATCATCGTATTCTTTGATCATCGTTCACGAAGAATCGTTCAACG